TTTGGACTCCAAATCCCCGTCCGGGGGGAAATCCCAAAAAGCCGGACATGTCCGGGAAAATCCGGACGTATGGTAACCCTACACATCAGCACAGACTGAACAGTGAGGAAATGGGGTGGGGGAAGCAGGCAGAGGTTACAGAGAAGCCTATTTAACCACAACAGGGACACTGTCTCTTAAAGGAGGGAGGAGGCAAGGTCAGCATGTTTAGGATGATGATGGTGGAGAGAAAAAAGGCTGGATTCGATGCAAGATGAGACCAAAGGAGGGGAAGGTGAATGGCAGTTTCATACAGGACCATGGTGCTCTGACACCCCAGTTCTGGGCACCCTGGACAGTCCTAGCTAGAGAGAACAGGCAAACAGGGACCCATCCCCCTGCAATGAACCTTTCCTGGCAGAAGGCCCCAGGGAGCACTATGAGTTGTATTGGGAGTGGGGGGCCCTCGGGACAGAGGGCAGCTGAAGTCCCTCAGATGTAGGTGAACTAGGCACTGCAGAATGAAAGAGCTTCACCCCCCCTCACAGCTGGGACCGAGGGGCAGCAACAGCTGTTAGGGTCTGTGACCAGGATTGGGGAAAAGACAAGCAGATGGACCAGATTCCCAGCTGATGTTAATCGTCCTGTCTCCATTGGAGTAAATGGGCCAGAACCTCAGCCAATGTAAACTTCTTTTACTCCAATGGCGACAACTTCTCTATTTTTGTCATGTCCCATTTAACCAGCTAATTTTCCTTTTTGTCATCTCGGTGGTATTGACTCCCCAGCGTTCTCTATCTCACCCCTCCCACACAGCAAAGGGTCGTGTAGAGAAAAGGGGCCTGGGAGGGGGAAGAAATCTGCTCACTTCTTCCTGGGACATCATTGGATTTTCTTGTCTTTCTCCCTTTTATCCCATCCTATCTCCTAGAACTGGAAGGGACCAAAGGTCATCGAGTCCAGCCCCCTGCCTTCACTAGCAGGACCAAGTACTGATTTTGCCCCAGATCCCTAAGTGGCCCCCTCAAGGATTGAACTCACAACCCTGGGTTTAGCAGTCCAATGCTCAAACCACTGAGCTATCCCTCCCCCAGCTCGCAGTGAGCAGAGCGCCCAGTCTGGCAGGGCTGGAGGCTGCACGCTCTACCTGATCCTCGTGCTCCTGGAGGCAGGAGAGGGCCTGGGACACCCTGCCAGCTCTGGCAAAGAGTGGGGAAGGGCAGGGCTGCAGCACACCACGTCCCCCACCAGGACAGTAAAGAAATTGGGGGGAATAAAGCCCCTGGGGTGTTGGTGTCTGGGCTGGGGGCTGCCCCATGGCTGAGCTCTGGGGGGAGAATGGTGCTGGTGTCTGGCAGCTGTCCTGCAGCCGGGCTCTGCCGGGAAGGGGGCTTGTGTCTGGGGGCTGCTCTAAAGCTGGGCTCTGGGGGGATGGGAGTGCAGGTGTCTGGGCTCTGGGGGCCCCACACAGCCCCCTCCAGCATCCCCCATCTGGAATTGGGTTGTTGTAGGAGTTTCGTTAACTCTCTTCTCCTCGGGGAATCATTTTTGCTGTTGTCTGTATTGTTGACATATTTGTTGACAGGTATTTTGAATAATTGAAACTGGAGTTATATTATGTTACTTTGACAAATAAAACATACAAAATTTTAAAATATTGTGTGCAGAATTTTTAATTTTTTGGTGCAGAATTCCCCAAGAAGTAATTAAAGGGCAAAAACCATCATTAATGAGGAGTTAAGTGCCTGGTGGGATGTTGTCTGCCTGGAGAACCTCAACTTCAGCAAAACTCACACGCCTGAAAAATAGGAAACTAAGAGTTAAGGTTGCCCACACAACCTTAACTCTGCCCTCTTTCAGTCATTCCCCAATGTTCCCCCAAAACACAAACACATCTTCAGTCTGCCAACACCACAACGGCTGAAAGGCACAATCTCTTCCCCTCCATTTACAACCCTTCGACCCAGACCCCCAACTTCAGCTGATCCTGACCAGACGGGTGTGCTGGCTGGTCCTGGTCATGACAGTGACAGCAGAGAAATCCACCGCCATCTCACCCCTACTTAGAGATACCCCACCCTTCCACCAACTCCGTACTCTTAAAAGCCTGCGTAGGGGAGCTCATTTTCCCTTGCGATGCTCTGAGCTCCCTAGGATGCAGTGGGAGCTGAGATGGATTCCCACCCCTCTCTCCCCACAGCTGCTCTCATGCGAGAACCAAAGGGTTACTACAGAGGGAGCTGATAAGGCTCCAACTTGGACTGGCTGATCTCCATCCAGATGCTCCACGGTTCTGACCCATGTAGCTTATTGAAAGACATGACTCGCTATCTCTGTTAATTTTAATGAAATGTATAAAACAAATAAAATGAAGAACACGGCTCACTAAATCTAAACTATTCTTAACACCACTCAACTATCTCTATATAAGTCACTTTCAGTTTCATATAAAATTAAATTCCAGAGCAGGTTCCCATCGGATGAATCAAAAACCAGGAGAGCAGATTCCCCCGTCACTTTCTCCTCTGATCCATTCAAACCGGCTTCACTCAACAGCACTTCATTATTATGGAATCGTGTTATTTACAAAAAAAGAAAATTAGCATCATCATAATAGGAGAAAACTGCCGAGTTTCTCGTGTGCAAACGATCCCAGATCAGCAGGAAAATGTCCAGAAGTGGCTTTGTCAATAGACAGAAACTGGGATTTAAACTCGGAATGTTCGCACTGTGTTTGGGATCCACGGAAATTCCCCATCCAGGTCTGTGACACTTTCATCTCCAGCCCTAACGAGTCGGATTTAGGATAAATTTGCTATGAAGTGCAGACACTCTTTGGGAGGTGGAGGGGTAAAACAGAGGTGGATAAACTCCATTGTGGCTCAGACAGACGTCTGCGCTGCTGGAGTGAGCGGGCCTAGTGATGGTGATGGGGAAGGAGGGAATCCCTCCGACTCACCCCATTTCCTTCTGGTGTCGCAGAGGCTGAAATGATACATTTGTCCCACTCCTGCTCCTCCTCTTTGTTATATTGAAATAGATTTTCAATAAGGGAAATGGCAAAAAGAAAAATACCTGCTGCCCAGCACAACCTGGACCAGCGTGAGAACAACAGGGGATGAGACAATCTGTCGCCAAAGGGGGAAACTTGGCGACTCTAACAATTGCTCTGCTAGTGTGGTGAGAGTATAAATGTGATGCTCAAGGCTTGTCTCGAGTATGAAAGTGTTGATTAGGACAGGTCAAAGGGGAAGGTGCTAGCTAACCCCAACCCCTGTGCCCGTCAGCACTGCACATCTAGCAGGGTGTTTACATTAGGGTAGCTACCTCCAGCAGGCTGGAAAATCCTAGAGGAGGCAAAGCCCAGGTCAATTTTAGATTTCCCCACCTGAGGTCACCCTTATGAACCCCACTTGAGGCTGATGGACACTCCTGGCCGTAGGGACACACACGCCCATGACCCACAGGACAAAGGAGTTGGTAGAAAGGACCACAGGATTCACTCCAGAGAAGGGTGACCTGCAAAACAAAAAGCAGGCAACTCACCTGGGGGAGCTGAGAGAACAGGATGACGCAAATGGTGCAAACAGCCCTAAAAAGTCCCTGTGTGGGAATTAGCAAATGGCTTTAAAACAATCTTTTCTCTGCCCTGCACAAAGTGTTTATGGTGTGTCTCTATCCTGTGACATCGCTGATGTCTATTAAGGTGTGAGCTCCAGATGAAACTTTTCCCGCATTCACAGGCTGCTCTCGTGGGTGGATCCTCTGATGATTAATAAGGTCCGATTTAAAAGTGAAGCTTTTCCCGCACTCAAAGCATTCATATGGTCTCTCTCCCGTGTGGATCCCCTGATGTCTAATAAGGGATGAACTCTCAGTGAAGTTTTTCCCGCACTCACAGCACTCATAGGGTTTCTCTCCTGTGTGAATCCTCTGATGTTTAATAAGGCCCGAACTCTGAGTGAACTTTTTCCCGCACTCAGAGCATGTGTAGGGGCGCTCTCCTGTGTGGATTCTCTGGTGATTAATAAGGCCTGAGCGCTGAGTGAACCTTTTCCCGCACTCACAGCACTCATAGGGTCTCTCTCCTGTGTGGCCTGTCTGATGTTTAATAACGTTTGATTTCTCACTGAACTGTTTTCCCCACTCAGAGCATGTATAGGGTCGCTCTCCCGTGTGGATTCTCTGGTGATTAATAAGGCCTGAGCTCTGAGTGAACTTTTTCCCACACTCACAGCATTCGTAGGGACTCTGCTCTGCGTGGCCTCTCTGATGTGTGCTAAGGTTTGATTTCTGACTGAACTGTCTCCCGCACTCACAGCATGCATAGGGGCGCTCTCCCGTGTGGACCCTCTGATGTTTATTAACGTCTGATTTGAAAGC